CGCTCGTCTGTCACACCACATGGTATTAGTAACACTGCTCGTCTGTCACAACACATGGTATAAATAACACTGCTCGTCTGTCCCAACACAAGGTATGAGTAAAATTGCTCGTCTGTCACAACACAAGGTCTGAGTAACACTGCTCGTCTGTCACAACAAATGGTATTAGTAAAGCTGCTCGTCTGACACAGCAAATGGTATGACTAGCACTGCTCGTCTGTCACAACACATGGTATTAGTAAAACTGCTCGTCTGTCACAACAAATGGTATTAGTAAAACTGCTCGTCTGACACAGCAAATGGTATGACTAGCACTGCTCGTCTGTCACAACACATGGTATTAGTAACACTCCTCGTCTGTCACAACAAATGCTATATGTAACACTGCTCGTCTGTCACAACACATGGTATAAATAACACAGCTCGTCTGTAACAACACATGGTATTAGTAACAGTACATGTCTTTCATAACACATGGTATTAGTAACACTGTTCGTCTATCACAACACATGGTATAAGTAACACTGTTCGTATATCACAACACATGGTATAAGTAACCCCCACCTCTGTCAAAACAAATGGTATTAATAAAACTGCTTGTCTGTCACAACACATGGGATTAGTAACACTGTTCGTCTATCACAGCACATGGTATAAGTAACCCCCACCCCTGTCAAAACAAATGGTATTAATAAAACTGCTTGTCTTAGTAACAGTCCATGTCTTTCATAACACATGGGATTAGTAACACTCCTCGTGTGTCACAACAAATGCTATAAGTAGGGTCTGAGTAACACTGCTCGTCTGTCACAACACATGGTATTAGTAAAACTGATCGTCTGTCACAACGAATGGTATGACTAGCACCGCTCGTCTGTCACAACACATGGTATTAGTAACACTCCTCGTCTGTCACAACAAATGCTATAACTACCACTGCTCGTCTGACACAACACATGGTATAAATAACACTGCTCGTCTGTCACAACACATGGTATTGGTATGACTAGCACCGCTCGTCTGTCACAACACATGGTATCAGTAACACTCCTCGTCTGTCACAACAAATGCTATAAGTAACGCTGCTCGTCTGTCACAACACATGGTATTAGTAGCACTGCTCGTCTGTCACAACACATGGTATTAGTAGCACTGCTTGTCTGTCACAACACATGGTATTAGTAACAGTTCATGTCTTTCACAACACATGGTATTAGTAAAACTGCTCGTCTGTCACAACACATGGCATTAGTAGCACCGCTCGTCTGTCACAATACATGGCATTAGAAGCACTGCTCGTCTGTCACAACACATGGTATAAATAACACTGCTCGTCTGTCACAACAAATGGGATAAGTAACACCGCTCGTCTGTCACAATAAATGGCATAAGTAACAACGCTCGTCTGTCACAACACATGGTATTAGTAACACTGCTCGTCTGTCACAACACATGGTATAAATAACACTGCTCGTCTGTCACAACAAATGGTATAAGTAACACCGCTCGTCTGTCACAATAAATGGTATAAGTAACAACGCTCGTCTGTCACAACAAATGGTATTAATAATACTGCTTGTCTGTCACAACAAATGCTATAAGTAGCACTTCTCGTCTGTCACAACACACGGAATAAGTAACACCGCACGTCTGTAACAACAAATGGTATTAATAAAACTGCTTGTTTGTCACAACAAATGATATAAATAAAAACGCTCGTCTGTCACAACACATGGTATTAGTAACACTGCTCTTTTGTCACAAAACATGGTATGAGTAACACTGCTCTTTTGTCACAACACATGGTAAAGGTAACCCTGCTCGTCTGTCACAACAAATGCTATAAGTAACACTGCGCGTCTGTCACAACACACGGTATTAATACCACTGCTCTTTTGTCACAACAAATGGTATAAGTAACACTGCTCGTCTATCACACCACATTGTATTAGTAACACTGCTCGTTTGTCACAATACATGGTATTAGTAAAACTGCTCGCTTGTCACAACACATGGTATTAGTAGCACTGCTCGTCTGTCACAATACATGGTATTAGAAGCACTGCTCTTCTGTCAAAACACATGGTATTAGTAGCACTGCTCGTCTGTCACAAAACATGGTATAAGTAACACTGCTCGTCTGTCACAACACATGGTATAAGTAGCACTGCTCGTCTGGCACAAAACATGGTATAAGTAACATTGCTCATTTGTCACAACACATGGTATGAGTAAAATTGCCCGTCTGTCACAACACATGGTATCTCGCTTGTCACAACACATGGTATAGGTAACACTGCGCGTCTTAGAAGCACTGCTCTTCTGTCAAAACACATGGTATTAGTAACAGTACATTTCTTTCACAACACATGGGCTTAGTAACACTGCTCGTTTGTCACAATACATGGTATTGGAAGCACTGCTCTTCTGTCAAAACACATGGTACTAGTAGCACTGCTCGTCTGGCACAAAACATGGTATAAGTAAAACTCCTCGTCTGTCACAACAATGCTATAAGCAACACTGCTCGTCTGTCCCAACACATGGTATTAGTCGCACTGCTCGTCTGTCACCAAACATGGTATAAGTAAAACTCCTCGTCTGTCACAACAAATGGTATTAATAAAACTGCTTGTTTGTCACAACAAATGATATAAATAAAACCGCTCGTCTGTCACAATACAATATAAATAAAAACGCTCGTCTGTCCCAACACATGGTATTAGTCTGTCACAACACATGGGATAAATAACACTGCTCGTCTATCACAACACATGGTATTGTTCGTATATCACAACACATGGTATTATGAGTAAAATTGCTCGTCTGTCACAATACACGATATGAGTAACACTGCTCGTCTGTCACAACACATGGTATAAGTAACACTCCTCGTCTGTCACAACAAATGCTATAAGCAACACTGCTCGTCTGTCACAACACATGGTATAAATAACACTGCTCGTCTATCACAACACATGGTATTAGTAACACTCCATTTCTTTCACAACACATGGTATTAGTAAACCTGCTCGTCTGTCACAACACATGGTATTAGTCTGTCACAACACATGGTATTAGTAGCAATGCTCGTCTGTCACAACACATGGTATTAGAAACAGTCCATGTCTTTCACAACACATGGTATTAGTAAATCTGCTCGTCTGTCACAACACATGGTATTAGTCTGTCACAACACATGGTATTAGTAGCACTGCTCGTCTGTCACAACACATGGTATTAGTAACAGTCCATTTCTTTCACAACACATGGTATTAGTAAAACTGCTCGTCTGTCACAACACATGATATTAGTAGCACTGCTAGTCTGTCACAACACATGGTATTAGTAGCAATGCTCGTCTGTCACAACACATGGTATGAGTAACACTGCTCTTTTGTCACAACACATGGTATAGGTAACACTGCGCGTCTGTCACAACACACGGTATTAATAACACTGCTCGTCTGTCACAACAAATGGTATAAGTAACACTGCTCGTCTGTCACAACATATGGTATTAATAACATTGCTCGTCTGTCACAACACATGGTCTTAGTAACACTGCTCGTCTGTCACAACACACGGTATATGCAACATTGCTCGTCTGTCACAACACATGGTATAAGTAACACCGCACGTCTGTCACAACAAATGGTATTAATAAAACTGCTTGTATGTCACAACAAATGATATAAATTAAAACGCTCGTCTGTCACAACACATGGTATTAGTAACACTGCTCGTCTGTCACAACACACGGTATATGTAACATTGCTCGTCTGTCACAACACATGGTATTAGTAACACTGCTCGTCTGTCACAACATATGGTATTAATAACATTGCTCGTCTGTCACAACACATGGTATGAGTAACACCGCTCTTTTGTCACAACACATGGTATTAGTAACATTGCTCGTCTGTCACAACACATGGTACGAGTAACACTGCTCTTTTGTCACAACACATGGTATAGGTAACACTGCGCGTCTGTCACAACAAATGGTATAAATAAAAACGCTCGTCTGTCACAACACATGGTATTAGCAACACTTTTCGTCTGTCACAACACATGGTATAAATAACACTGCTCGTCTGTCACAACAAATGGTATTAATAATACTGCTTGTCTGTCACAACAAATGCTATAAGTAGCACTTCTCGTCTGTCACAACACATGGTATGAGTAACATTGCTCGTCTGTCACAATACACGATATGAGTAACACTGCTCGTCTGTCACAACAAATGATATTAGTAACATTGCTCATTTGTCACAACACATGGTATGAGTAACATTGCTCGTCTGTCACCACACACGGTATGAGTTACATTGCTCGTCTGTCCCAACACACGGTATGAGTTAAACTGTTCGTCTGTCACAACACATGGTATTAATAACATTGCTCGTCTGTCACAACACATGGTATAAATAACACTGCTCGTCTGTCACAACACATGGTATTAATAACATTGCTCGTCTGTCACAACACATGGTATAAGTTACATTGCTCGTCTGTCACAACACACGGTATGAGTTAAACTGTTCGTCTGTCACAACACATGGTATTAATAACATTGCTCGTCTGTCACAACACATGGTATAAGTAACACTGCTCGTCTGTCACAACACATTGTATTAATAACACTGCTCGTCTGTCACAATACATGGTATTAGTAAAACTGCTCGTCTGTCACAACACATGGTATTAGTAGCACTGCTCGTCTGTCACAATACATGGTATTAGAAGCACTGCTCTTCTGTCACAACACATGGTATTAGTAGCACTGCTCGTCTGTCACAACACATGGTATAAGTAACACTGCTCGTCTGTCACAACACATGGTATTAGTAACAGGTATTATGAAAGGAATGTGTTTAATGAGCACAATGACGCTCTTAAATATTAATATTTAAAGTTGATCTTATTGATAGAATCAAACCAATTGAGTTTAAAATATCCAAATTCAAAACAAACATAGTAAAATAGAAACTTACCAGAATCTTCGTATTTACTCATGATGTCAATAACCCTACTAGGAAACATAAACTGAAACAAAATCAAAATTCACTGTAATTGATACTGTGCATTCAACAACGGGTCAAAATAATTACTAAAATTTCTTTTGATGATAAAAAGAAGCAAACCCATATCATTGCATCAAGTAACGTTCGAAGGTCCTTAAGTAGTGTTTTTTGGTCTCCTTTTTATTCCGTCCTATGGTATTTTTTTAGGTCACCAGAGCTTTAAAGCCTCCTCATACATAGGTGAATCCATTAAACGCAGCCTGGCGAATTGGGTAAATTTGTCAATTCCGGCGAATTTGTTCGAAACTGTTTGTGTTACATAATTTGAAATATAACGAAAGGTAAACGTAGGGGAACTATTTGTTGCGAATGATTTACGAAGTTTGACGAACGGTTACTGTTATTCGCTAGAATGCGTTGGGTCGCGCAAACAATCTTTGTTCTTTCCGTTAGCGATTAGATGCGCAAACATGCGAACCGAAGCGCAACTTTTCGCCTGCTTCCGAAGCCGTCCGAAGCTTTCCAAAAGGGTATTTCCACATCCGGCCGTTACTCCAACTCGATCCTGCCTGTACCAGGTGTGTTGTTTCCAGAGGCGATGACGGACTCTCTCAAATATTTCATCATACTTTTCAGTTGGCATGCGGAGGAATTTCTTGAAAGTTCTAGGATCTTCTCTTCTGAGCTCAACCATGAGCTGATCATAGATGCCAAACTGGCGCCGTCTCTCGGGGATGCAGCCATGGTCTTCTCCAGATGCGACGTGCTCTGGCTCTTCTTCTCCACATCAATCGGCCTCTGGTGAACTGGTGGATGTTTAATTGTTGCTGGAAGACTTCTTGGTGGGCCATAGCAGCCACATACTGCAGGCTCAGGCGTTGTGTATCTTCCATTTTGATGAAGGAATAACTAATAAACTTGATATTTAGCCTCCTCCTTTTATATATGAAATTCAAGAACTACACAAAACTGTTGAGATACTCAAGAAATGTAGATGCGTTATGATTCGCGTGGATTCGTTTGTCGTAGTTACCCTTCGTAATGACTCGTATGCAAACGTAGCCGTTCGTTTTTGAACGTCAACCAATCGTTACAATTCGCTTTCATTCGTCATGAAATTTCGGATTCAATTGACTACAATACGTAATTATTCGCTTCATAACGTACAAGTTCGCAAACTATAGCAAAGATTCGTCATGGGATCGTCCACGATCGCTTGATATGCAAATTAGCTGATCACGACCTGATAACTTGCGACCTCTAACGCCAGTTGACGAACGCTATGCGAAGACTTTCCGATTGGTTAACGCATTGAAACAATTTTTAACGAATGATAGACGGAACTTTTATTCGCCACAAATTTTTCAACATGCTCAAAATCGCAACGCACACAAAAGCTCACAAACGCATCCATACGAACAGACCAACGATGTACAACGTACATATACTAATGGGAACGAATTTTACGCAAGTCCTATTCGCCAGTACACGCAAGTTGACGTCGGTTTTTTTCGTCTATGTATGAGGAGGCCTTTAGCTCAAGTGACCTTTTGCTATCCGTCTTCGTCCGTCGTCGTGCGGTGTGCGTCGTCCGTCGTGCGCCATGCGTCGTCCGTTAACATTTTACATTTTCAACTTAAGCTGAAATACCGTAGAAGGGATTTCATTGATTGTTACTGACATCTACCAGACAGAGTGTTGTTATTTTTCGGGTCGATCAGAAATCCAATCTTGCCGCCACGGCCGCCATTTTGAAAAAAAAAAAAATCAAACCTAAAATCAAGTTCTACTAGGCCGATTTAACTTAAACTTGGTAGGAATGATCGACCTATAGACCTGACAAAGTGTTTTTATTTTTCGGGTCGATCAGAAATCCAATATGGTCGCTACGGCCGCTATTTTGAAAATTATTATTTCAAACTTATAGTACAGGTCCTCTGGACCGATAAAATTGAAACTTAGTAGGAATGATCGACTCATGAGCAAAGTTTTTGCTTGGGCCGATCCAGTAAGGCCGCCACGACTCCCATTTTAAAAAAAGAAAGAAATGGCAGCCAGAGTCTTAACAGGTCGGACACTTTCTTTAGTTTCAAATCACAGCTTAACGTCACAGTACCCAAATCACAGCTTAACGTCACAGTACCCAAATCGGGACACTTGAGGGAAAAAGTCACAAGGAATGTGCATGCTGTGCAAAGAAGAATTTGTAAATTGAAAATATTGATTTAATGATGCTGATTTACCAATAAAACATTATACGAACTTTATTTACTGCCTCTTATGGTTACAATTACAGTTTTAGTTTGTAAATAATTTTCAATTTTTGTATGTGATTTTCCACAATCCTACTATTTCATAACTGATGGTAGTTTGGATTAGAAGTTCATTCAGAACGACCCTTGACTCTTATTTATTCCAAAGGTATGCCATGTTCTGCAAAATACCGTTTACATCTCCAATTATAAGCCAAAACTGGTAGGGGAGTACAGCTATACCTGTGTCGCGATTACGTAACCATGACTATCTTCCGGTTCTATTTAGAGAACAACGCGTCGGAAATATCAACTTGTTATCAAAATGAAAAGATAATGATATCTATTTAGGTAAAATGAACTAAAATTACTGGGATCGGTACGATGAAATACATGAATATTTCGCTAAACAATGTTCCGATTTGGGTACTGTGACGTTAACTGGTTTACCTGAAGAATACGTACGTATCAGAGTACCTTATATGTTCTAATCATCAAAACGTTTGACATAGATACGTCACTGGTTGTGCAATATAACATGTACACGGTATATACACCGGAATAAACTTATGGAAATACATTATTGATCTATGATACTTCCGAATTTTCGCCTGCTCTAACAAAACGAAGGTTTTGGTATTATAAAGTTTCCCTCACATCTGCGTAGGCCATTGCTAGATCAAAGTCCAGTTCCTGGTCAGAAACACTCATGTCTATGCTAAGACTTGTATTACTACGCCGGTCCGCAAGCGATTGAAGCCAGACAACACGGTTGTAGTGCAGATTGGCGAGTTTCGACTGTTGGAGCATTTCCATAACTTCCCCGGATGTCAGCGGGTCTGTCTGTGAGTTTCCTATTTTCCCGTTCAGAATATCCGTGTGCTGAAGGTCATATAAATTCCATAGTCTCAAAATGCTCTTGTAGATTTCCTGTTTATCTATTAAGGTCGGCCAATAATTTTTAATATTTTTTGCTGCAGTCCAAACTCGGATTAGACCTGAAATATAACGAAGTAAAGGTGTAACTATTGTTCATGGTAATATGTACTCGTTCTGTATAATGTAACTATTGTCACCCTCACACATGTATGTAACTATTGTCACCCTTACACACGTATGTAACTATTGCCACTCTCACACATGTATGTAACTATTGTCACTCTCACACATGTATGTAACTATTGTCACTCTCACACATGTATGTAACTATTGTCACTCTCACACATGTATGTAACTATTGTCACTCTCACACACGTATGTAACTATTGTCACTCTCACACATGTATGTAACTATTGTCACTCTCACACATGTATGTAACTATTGTCACTCTCACACATGTATGTAACTATTGTCACTCTCACACATGTATGTAACTATTGTCACTCTCACACATGTATGTAACTATTGTCACTCTCACACATGTATGTAACTATTGTCACTCTCACACATGTATGTAACTATTGTCACTCTCACACATGTATGTAACTATTGTCACTCTCACACATGTATGTAACTATTGTCACTCTCACACATGTATGTAACTATTGTCACTCTCACACATGTATGTAACTATTGTCACTCTCACACATGTATGTAACTATTGTCACTCTCACACATGTATGTAACTATTGTCACTCTCACACATGTATGTAACTATTGTCACTCTCACACATGTATGTAACTATTGTCACTCTCACACATGTATGTAACTATTGTCACTCTCACACATGTATGTAACTATTGTCACTCTCACACATGTATGTAACTATTGTCACTCTCACACATGTATGTAACTATTGTCACTCTCACACATGTATGTAACTATTGTCACTCTCACACATGTATGTAACTATTGTCACTCTCACACATGTATGTAACTATTGTCACTCTCACACATGTATGTAACTATTGTCACTCTCACACATGTATGTAACTATTGTCACCCTCACACATGTATGTAACTATTGTCACTCTCACACATGTATGTAACTATTGTCACTCTCACACATGTATGTAACTATTGTCACCCTCACACATGTATGTAACTATTGCCACTCTCACACATGTATGTAACTATTATCACTCTCACACATGTATGTAACTATTGTCACCCTCACACATGTATGTAACTATTGTCACTCTCACACATGAATGTTACTATTGTCATCCTCACACATGTATGTAACTATTGTCACTCTCACATACGTATGTAACTATTGTCACTCTCACATATGTATGTAACTATTGTCACTTTCACACACGTATGTAACTATTGTCACTCTCACACATGTATGTAACTATTGTCACCCTCACACACGTATGTAACTATTGTCACTCTCACACATGTATGTAACTATTGTCACTCTCACACATGTATGTAACTATTGCCACTCTCACACATGTATGTAACTTTGAGCCGTCGATCAAAAGACATACCACTGTTAGTGTTAACATGTTGTATGATTCGATAGTGTTAGCCACAACTTTATGGATCGCTACCAGGTTTAACTTGAGCCTAGTACTGATATATGACTGATTGATCAGGATGTTGTGTAGCTGGTTTATTTGAACATTGTTATGTTGTGTAGATTTACTAATTGGCTCTGGTGTTTTGTGTCTGGTAGACTAGAACTGTTGACTAACAGATTATTATGTGGTATACCTTTGGCAGCTCCTGTATCCCGACACGTATCACACGTTACGGACGCTATTACTTGTTCCCAATCCGTCATGACCCGGATGACGAAGTGCAGAGCGTTGATGGGGTTACCCATCCACTTTTCCACATCGTATACACGAGATCTTGCTTCGTCCACAGTCTTCAAAAAACTAAAAAGAAATTCAGTTAGTTCCTTCAACTTGATATAAAATGACAGCAACATGAACTGAGGAGCATAAAGAAAACGAGGCTCAAAAAAGCCGGGAACAGTTACTCCGGAGAGATTATAATTCTGCATTACATATTCCTGCTCAACATATAGCAGAAGGCCAAAAGGTACCTATTTAGAAAATAGTAACCTATGTCCATCCGTTAATACTGAAGTAACAGCGGTAAAACACCATCAGTGGAGTAGTCTTCATATCGTCTATCCAGGATAATAACTGATGCTGAAAACAGGTTCTGGAATATCATGACTTCAGTCACGATTAAGCCAAACCAGTTCGGAAAATTCCGGGGAAGCTATGAATACAATTATCTGAATGTGAAATTGAAAGGTCGGTTAAGCATTGTAACTCACATATATTACAGCTCTTGAGTAAATAGCCTGTGTAAATACAACACAGATCAGCTGATAGTGATACATATTTCATCGTGATCAAGTTTTAGTCCGGATTAAGTTTAAACTGATATTAGAGTTGAGATTGTTAACCATGATATGATTAATCCTGTTGCTTCACTATATAACCAGTCACTACTAATCCTGTTGCTTCACTATATAACCAGTCACTACTAATCATGTTGCTTCACTATATAACCAGTCACTACTAATCATGTTGCTCCACTATATATCTAATCACTACTAATCATGTTGCTCCACTATATATCTACTCACAACTAATTATGTTGCTCCACTATATATCTACTCACAACTAATCATGTTTCTCCACTTTATATCTAGTCACAACTAATAATGTTGCTCTGCTATATATCTAGTCACAACTTATCATGTTGCTCCGGTATATATCTAGTCACAACTAATCATGTTGCTCCACTATATATCTCGTCACTACTAATCATGTTGCTCCGCTATATATCTACTCCAAACTAATCATGTTGCTCCACTATATATCTACTCCCAACTAATCATGTTGCTCCACTATATATCTAGTCACAACTAATCATGTTGCTTCACTATATATCTAATCACAACTAATCATGTTGCTCCACTATATATCTAGTCACAACTAATCATGTTGCTCCACTGTATATCTAATCACTACTAATCATGTTGCTCCACTATATATCTACTCACAACTTATCATGTTGCTCCACTATATATCTAGTCACAGCTAATCATGTTGCTTCACTATATATCTAATCACTACTAATCATGCTGCTCCACTATATATCTACTCACAACTAATCATGTTGCTCCACTATTTATCTAATCACTACTAATCATGTTGCTCCACTTTATATCTAATCACTACTAATCATGTTGCCTCACTTTATATCTAATCACTACTAATCATGTTGCTCCACTGTATATCTAATCACTACTAATCATGTTGCTCCACTATATATCTACTCCAAACTAATCATGTTGCTCCTCTATATTTCTAGTCACAACTAATCATGTTGCTCCACTGTATATCTAATCACTACTAATCATGTTGCTTCCCTTTATATCTAATCACTACTAATCATGTTGCTCCACTATATATCTAATCACTACTAATCATGTTGCTTCACTTTATATCTAATCACTACTAATCATGTTGCTCCACTATATATCTAATCACTACTAATCATGTTGCTCCACTATATATCTACTCACAACTAATCATGTTGCTCCACTATATATCTAGTCACAACTAATCATGTTGCTCCACTATATATCTAGTCACAACTAATCATATTGCTCCACTATATATATTGTCACTCCAAATCCTGTTGCTCCACTATATATCTAGTCACTACTAATCATGTTGCTTCACTATATATCCAGTTACTGTTCGTCCTGTTCCTCAACTATATATCCAGTCATGCAGTGTGTAAGTCCGGTGAACTAATTTTATGAACACACCAGCCTTAATGTCTTATTTTTGACTATGTTAACCTCGCTATGGAAAATTTTAATAGCTTATGCACAAGTTCAATATAAATATAAATTACAAAGATAAGTTCCGGTTTTCATTTGGGGACTTTGGATATATCCTTTCATGGGGTTGGCCTTTAGGGTGACTATAGCCTTTTTCATGGTGCTTGTTGAACCTTAAGATATATACCAGTGCCAAGTCATTCTCTTACATTTAGTTTCTGTACAAGTGACGTGGAAACATCAGTCTTTTTTGTAGATAATGTATCGGTATGGTAGACCCGATATAACTGAGCCCCGGGCAGAGCCCAACTCGTGATTCAACAGTAACAGGTAGTGGTTATCAGTACCACGTTGGTTAAAAGAAACACGTGTTGTCCTACAAAATATGCCTAATGTTAAATATTCCGGCTCAATTTTCCATTAAATACACCGATCTAGGTTTTGTATCCAATGATGATAGTTGCACTTGTTGTTTATCTCATACAAATAGTGTGCTTACCTTGTGATGGAGTCACTTATAGGGTGTCCTTCTGTCAACGACACAGTCACAAAGTCTCTTAAAGCTTCTACCAACTTGCCTTCCTCGTTGTAAATAATTTCAAGATTTCTTACTGATGAAAACGCTTGGCTATTGACGCAGTAGAATAAAGTCATTACCACACAAAATCGTCTGAGCATTTCTCGGGTCGTCATGTTGGTCTAGTGAGGATAAAACAGGTTTTAGTAATGACATTAAGTACACGTGGAATATAAAGTACACGTGGTATTCATCCGGGTTTTTATACAACTTCCTGGCAGACGTGGTAGAGCACTGTCAGCTTCACGAGAAAAAAACCCTCATTTCTACTGTTGCGACCCATTTGTTTTAATATTAACGCAATTAGTAATAATTTTTCACTTCGTAATAATCATAATTAAGTGTTAATAAGTGCGGTTTGTTTGTTTCAAAGTGTTTTTGAGTCGACGCACTTTGTAATCAGTTTTTAAAAAATTGGTTGAGGCGACACTAAAATTCTCCTTTGGTTAGCTTTTTTTTTTTTTTATTGATTTAACAGAAAACACAATTTTGCGCAAAAATGTCAATGTTAATTGTAATGCCACGAACTTGTTTGCAATGTCACGTACTTATTTGAAATGTCAATTTCCTGTTTGTTATGTCACGTACTTGTTTGTAATGTCACGTACTTGTTTGAAATGTCATGAACTTGTTTGTAATGCCACACACTTGTTTATTATGTCACGTACTTGTTTGTGATGTCACGAACGTGTTTGTAATGTCACGAACTTGTTTGTAATGTTACGAAGTTGTTTGTACTGTCATGAACGTGTTTGTAATTTCATGTACGTGTTTGTAACTTCACGAACTTGTTTGTAATGTTTCGAATTTGTTTGCAAGGTCACGAATTTGTTTTCAATGTCGTCACATACTTGTTTGTGATGCCACGTTCCTGTTTGTTATGTCACGTACTTGTTTGAAATGTCACGTTCTTGTTTGTAATGTCAATGCCACACACTTGTTTATTATGTCGCGTACTTGTTTGTGATGTCACGAACTTGTTTGTAATGTCACGTACTTGTTTGTAATGTCACGTTCTTGTTTGTAATGTCACGAATTTGTTTGCAATGTCACGTACTTGTTTGGAATGTCTGGAATTTGTTTGTAATGTCACGTACTTGTTTGTAATGTCACGGACTTGTTTGTAATGTCATGTTCTTGTTTGTAATGTCACGGACTTGTTTGTAATGTCACTAATTTGTTTGCAATGTCACGAACTTGTTCGTAATGCCACGCACTTTTTTATTATGTCACATCCTTGTTTGTGATGCCACACACTTATTTATTATGTCACGTACTTGTTTGTTATGTCATGAATGTGTTTGTAATATCACGTACTTGTTTGTGATGTCACCAACTTGTTTGTTATGTCACGTTCTTGTTTGTGATGTCATGTCACGTACTTGTTTGTAATGTCACTAATTTGTTTGCAATGTCACGAACTTGTTTGTAATGTCACGTACTTGTTTGAAATGTCACGAACTTGTTTGTAATGCCACGCACTTTTTTATTATGTCACATACTTGTTTGTGATGCCACACACTTATTTATTATGTCACGTACTTGTTTGTGATGTCACGAACGTGTTTGTAATGTCACAAACTTGTTTGTAATGTCCGGAATTTGTTGGTAATGTCACGAACTTGTTTGTAATGTCACGAAATTGTTTGTAATATCACGTACTTGTTTGTGATGTCACGAACTTGTTTGTTATGTCATGAATGTGTTTGTAATGTCACGTACTTGTTTGTAATGTCACGTTCCTGTTTGTTATGTCACGTACTTGTATGTAATGTCACGTTCTTGTTTGTAATGTCACGAATTTGTTTGTAATGTCACGTACTTGTTTGTAATGTCACGAACTTGTTTGTAATGTCACGAATTTGTTTGTAATGTCACGTACTTGTTTGAAATGTCACGAACTTGTTTGTAATGCCATGCACTTTTTTTTTATTATGTCACATACTTGTTTATGATGCCACGTACGTGTTTGTGATGTCACGAACGTGTTTGTAATGTCACGAACTTGTTTGTAATGTCATGAACGTGTTTGTAATTTCACGAACTTGTTTGTAATGTCACGTACTTTTTTGTGATGTCACGAACTAGTTTGTAATGTCCCGAATTTGTTGGTAATGTCACGAACTTGTTTGTGATGTCACAAAATTGTTTGTAATGTCACGTACTTGTTTGTGATGTCACGAACTTGTTTGTTATGTCATGAATTTGTTTGTAATGTCACGAACTTGGTTGTTATGTCATGTTCTTGTTTGTGATGTTATGAATTTGTTTGTAATGTCACGTACTTGTTTGTTATGTCACGTTCCTGTTTGATATGTCACGTACTTGTTTGTAATGTCACGTTCTCGTTTGTAATGTCACGAATTTGTTTGTAATGTCACGTACGTGTTTGTTATTTCACGAACTTGTTTGTAATGTCACGTACTTGTTTGTAATGTCACGTACTTATTTGTGTTGTCACGTACTTGTTTGTGATGTCACGAACGTGTTTGTTATGTCACGAACTTGTTTGTAATGTCACGAACTTGTTTGTGATGTCACGAACTTGTTTGTAATGTCACGAACTTGTTTGTGATGTCACGAACTTGTTTGTAATGTCACGAATTTGTTTGTAATGTCACAAACTTGTTTGTAATGTCACGAAATTGTTTGTAATGTCACGTTCTTGTTTGTGATGTCACGAACTTGTTTGTTATGTCACGATTTTGTTTGTAATGTCACGAACTTGTTTGTGATGTCACGAACTTGTTTGTAATGTCACGAACTTGTTTGTGATGTCACGAACTTGTTTATAATGTTACGAATTTGTTTGTTATGTCACGTACTTGTTTGTAATGTCACGTACTTGTTTGTAATGTCACGAATTTGTTTGTAATGTCACGTACTTGTTTGTAATGTCAGGAATTTGTTTGTAATGTCACGTACTTGTTTGTAATGTCACGAACTTGTTTGTAATGTCACGAATTTGTTTTTAATGTCACGTACTTGTTTGAAATGTCACTAACTTGTTTGTAATGCCACGCACTTTTTATTATGTCACATACTTATTTGTGATGTCACGAACGTGTTTGTAATGTCACGAACTTGTTTGTAATGTCACGAACTTGTTTGTAATGTTACGAAGTTGTTTGTAATGTCATGAACGTGTTTGTAATGTCATGTACGTGTTTGTAACTTCACGAACTTGTTTGTAATGTTTCGAATTTGTTTGCAATGTCACGTATTTGTTTTTAATGTCACGTTCTTGTTTGTGATGTCACGAACGTGTTTGTAATGTCACGAATTTGTTTTTAATGTCACGAACTTGTTTGTTATGTCACGTACTTGTTTGTAATGTCACGAACTTGTTTGTAATGTCACGAACGTGTTTGTAATGTCCCAAACTTGATTTATAATGTCTTTAAGTTTATTGATAACGTAATAAAATCTACTGATATTGCTTGAGGTGTTTGTTCGGGAACATGGTAAGTTTTAAATAAATTTGTTGGTGCAAAAATAGGGGAAATAACCCTTAAAATGATATCACTTGCACAAATTCTGCAGTCTTCATTCAATTTCCATGTTTGTGCTCTTTGTGTACTTTAAACATGATGTGAATAAATCTATTATTATTATTATTATTATTATTATTATTATTATTATCGTGATGCTTTAAAATAATATAATCTCACTACTATTTCACTGCTGAAATATAACAAATACTAATTGCGTTGTGTTGTTTGTTCGAATGATGACATTCACTATATATAGTTCGAACTACGAAAAGATCACTTCAATGAACCAACTGTTGAAGCTGAACATCAACAGTCCTCTAGCCTGAACCTAGCTAAGCATGTTTATGTAAGTTGTCTGACCTTTCATGGTAATATGTAAGCCCGGGGCCACATTGTCGATCGCCGTACCCACCAAATCATATCACAGAATACTCGCACCTTACTTCACTCTATATCCCTTATAAATATGCAACAAAACAGGATAGGACCCTTGCAAAATAATCTGTATCCAATATAGCTCCCTATTTCTTTCATTACACACTGATCGAGAACATACAGGTATGCGTATCTGGTAATGTTATATTTTGTTTTGCTGGAGAACTGTGTTTATCTGAGTATAAGGCTAAACATGTCGTAAAATACCTGAGATTTGTATATAATATTATACAAGGCTTGATCATTTAGTAATTTTGATACGTGTCCGCTATATCCAGTTATTTATGCGCATGGTGACCCTATTCTGACCTTGTTTAGATGCAGTAGAGTGATGGTCTGGAGCGGTAGAGTGTTGGTAAGGGGCGGTATAGTGATGTTCTGGGTGGTAGAGTGTTCATCTTGGAAGGTAAAGTGATGGTTTGGGGCGGTAAAGTGATAGTCTCGGGCGATAGAGTGATGTTCAGTGTCGGCAGAGTGAAAATCTGGGGCGGTAGAGTGAAGTTCCGGGCGGTTAAGTGTTGGTCTGGAGCGATAGAGTGTTGGTCTCGAAAGGAAGAGATGATTAGGGGCGGTAGAGTGATGGAAAGTGGCGTAGAGTGATGGTCTGGGTCGGTAGAGTGTTGGTTTTGGGTGGTAGAGTGATAGTTTCTGGCGGTAGATTGAAGTTTTTGGGCGGTAGAGTGATAGTATGGGTCGGTAGAATGATAGTCTTTGGCTGTAGAGTGTTGGTCTGGGGCGGCAAAGTGTTGGTCATGGGCGGTAGAATGATTGTCTGGGCGGAAGAGTGTTGGTCTGGGGCGGTAGAATGATAGTCTAGGGCGGGCTAGAGTGTTGGTTTGGGGCGGTAAAATGATAGTCTGGGGCGGTAAAGTGTTGTTCTTGGGCGGTAGAGTGATAGTCTTGGGAGGTAGAGTGATGGTCTTGGGCGGTACAGTGAAGATCTGGAGCGGTAGAGTGAAGGTATCAGGCCGAAGAGGTATAGTATCGGGTGGAAGAATTATAGTATCGGGAGGAAGAGTTATAGTCTCGGGCGGGAGAGTGAATGTCAGCGTCTGTAGAGTGAAGACCTGAGACTGTACAGTGAATGTCTCGAGCGGTAGAGTGATAGTCTATGACGGTAGAGTGATGGTCTATGACGGTAGAGTGATGGTCTTGGGCGGTAGAGTGCTGGTCAGGGTAGGCAGAGTGATCTTCAGGTTCGGCAGAGTGAAGGTCTGGGGCGGTA